ACTCCTCATCAAAACACTGTACCAGCATCTGCCGCTTTGGGTCGTGGTGGGCCTCCTGTACGATGTCGCGTGCCAGCTCGAACGTTCGGCACGGAAATGGGGATTCTTGGCGAAGTACTTGGATCGCTTGATTTTTGCGGTCGCGGTGTTTCACGCATTTGGGCACGACTGGCCGTGCCAGCTACTGTACCATCCGCGGAAGTGCAAGGGCTTCGGGTTCACCAACGGTGAAGGATGCAAAAGGTTTTGGCACTCCATCAGCCATCTTATTGCGCATCTACGAGTTTCGAGCGTAAGGGTTCCTTATGCTCGGCAAATTCATCTTACTGACTTGTCGCTCTCTCAGTACCACCATCGGCTGTACACTTTGGATACTCAAGTGAAGCACTCAGACGAAGGGAACTTGTTTCGTCTGGGTGAATGGAACAAGCGGCGTTCCTTGCACAGCGCGGACAAGCGAGCCGCAGCAGAGGAGGTCATAGCGGAGTGTGGCGTGTCGTTGGAAGTGCTCGAGGAGGAGTGGAAGAAGCAGATAGTGGCGCAAACGAAGCCCCTTCCACGTACGTGGGCAGCTGGTGGCCTCAGAAACATTTTACTGAATATCGCAATGCAGGACGCTCCAAAAACATGGCAAAAAAGGCGATTGAAGTTGTTATGGCGCTACGGGACGCGGCAGGGATCAAACGGGAGCAGCTGCAGGCCTGCCAGAAGGCGGTTTTGGCAGCGATTGAGGTCGGCGACAGTGATCGTATCCAGGAAAGCAAAGCGGATTTGAGAACGGCGAAGCAGGAGCTGGGTAAGGCCGAGAAGAGATTGGAGAACAAGGAGCGCGCTTTAGGTGTGGCAGAGCGGGCGCAACTAGCCGACCTCAAGACCACCAAGTACTTGGAGTTGCGCATGCGAGGCCGGGCACTAAAGCATCGCTTGCGCGACCGCCTGCGTGCACGCAAATTTGAGTTGGATCGGGTGGAGCGGTCAGCGCGGCGGCAATTGACCAGCGGTATGGGGCTCCTTAGCTTTGGGCGTCACACGACTGATTTTTCTTCGCAGAGAAAAAACTTGGCTCGCATACATTGTCCGCTATCAAGAAGCGCGAACCGAGTATATCGAAGTTATACAAAGACTACAACAAGACGTGCGCAGCCATTGCCAAACTCATCAAGAGTCGCGCGGCCCCAAAGTCCGCCATCGCACCTCAACCAATCGATGAAAAAAAAGTGTGGGAGTTGGACGTGGACGACGGTATATGGCAGGATGTGGGCTTGGACGACGACGATGACGAGGGGGCTGCAGCCCCTTTGTGGCTCAGTAACGACCCAGTTAGAAAGGGCATCCCAGCGATGCTGGATCTCCAGCGCGCAGACGAGGAGGATCGGGAGCTGGCGAAAGAGCGACGCGCGATGCAGATGTGGTTTTCGGAGGAGTGGAAGATTGTTAACGTCGCCATGGAACGTGCGGGTACGTGGATCGCCCTCCTTACACGACTCGTGCGCTGAGATACACAATGGTAGACACGGAGGGCCTGCGATACAGCCTTCACCTGCGGCGAGAACGTTTGCTGCGCCTCTGCGCGACGTGGCGGCGGTCCATCGGCGACGATGATGGGACGCCTGAATGGGGGCCAACCACCGCTGAGCTTCTCGCAGTGCGTCTGGAACAACAGACGGCTGGACGTGGAGAGGATCACTACACAAGCGCCATGGACGCTGAGGGCGATGACTATGAGAGCGGAAGTGAGGCTAACTCGGAGGACATCGAAGTGTTAGATGCGCTGGACACGGCAGACGCGTATCGGGGTATATACGAGGACTCCGACGAAGATAGTTCAGAAGAATAAATGTGCCTCGTTGTGGGTGTTAACGATAGATTACATTACATGTAGCTTGCGCAGATTTTCGTGATGGTCAAAGTGAAGTAAACTGTACAAGAATGGTGCTTGGTAGATAGTTTACATAGTTTCCCGGGGGAGGGGTTCGCAGCCCTGCGCACCTCCTTGTCGTGGACCCCCGGGCTTGCGGCTCTCTACGGAGAGCTTACCAAGAGTGCGAAAACAATGCGTCGTAGATAGGGACTTGAGCGGCATGCGGGTGAGTCCGAATCTGGAGTATGTGGCCACGACTCACGCTTTGTGTCCAGATTAGGTATATAATGCGCGGTGGCATACCGCGCTACTCAACTTAACACTCAACTTAACACTGCGATGCCCGCCACCCGCCCCACTCGCCGCCAACGCCCTGCGAAACCGCCCTTGCCGCACATCACGGACCCATATGCGCCGAGGGACGAGGATGACCCTCTTCCCGTCACCGCAGAGGAGAAAGTCGCAGAGGAAAGAGCAAGGGTGACGGCGAACAAGCGTGTCTGCAGGCTCTTGAGGAAGCACGGTATGTGTGGTTTGGGGAGCGCGAAGGACGTATGCTCATTTCCAATTGGACAGAACACACTGTGGCTGCCAGCGCATCCATTCCAAACGATGCGGAGAGACAGGAAAAAACTTCTGAGACGTGGGTGGATCATTTCATGGCAGGTACGTTTGCATTCGCGCGCCTCCTCTAGATATCGTCTATAACAAACCCACAGTCAGGGAGTATGAATGTCGATACGGGAAGTTTGTACCGGACGCCGAGAATGCAGCGTGGCAGGCACGCAAGAAGCCGCGGATGGAGGAACTGTACAAGCTACGTGCCGTTGCTCGTAAGTCATATCTTCAATGGCATTTTTATCCTGACTTGTGTTTTTAGAGCACATATATGACCACGACCATATCCTGGTGGTTATTTACCTCGCACGCGGTACGTTGTACCCCACCTTTCTTGACGCGACGCTCACAGCGACTTAGAGAGGGCGTTCGCGGAGGATTTCGGCCACGACTTCTCTGGGTACGACGGGCTCGACGAGCACTTCAAGCAGCTGGGAGCCTACGCGGACTCCGCCGCCCACCTACGGCAGTGGAAGAAGAACGATCTTGGCGCCATGATCGCGGAGGTGAAGCGCCCCTTTATCTTCAAGATACACAACCCGTATCCCGACGGACACCCGCGGCGGGGGGGCTTTGACGCGAAAAGTGAGCGTCCTTCACCACCATTGACGATGAGGACTGACTCTTCTCTTTCGTAGTGCGCGCCCGCGCTGCTGATCTTCTGGACCCGCAGCTCCTTGCCGCGTGGCCCGCCACCGTGATGGACGAATTCCCTTTCCAGATCCGCAATCCTTGGGCGACATGGGGCGACGAAACGGAAGTCCTCCTCGGCTATTATAGCCGTACGTGCCTTTTTGCTGGCTCGTTGATTTGTGAACTGACACCTAGTTTATCTAGTGCAGTACACGAGGGACGACCTGGAGAACACCCAGCTTTACCACTGGGAGGCGGCGAACGACGCCGTGGGGAAAAACGACAATATACGCATTGTCCCTTCGTACCGCGGCCAGCGTTGTGGTAAATTGTAGTTAGCTATAAATTCATGTACGATCTTGTAGATTTTCGCTGTGTGTTAATTTGAGTAAACTGTACGACACGGGTGCTTCGTAGATAGTTTACATAGTTTCCCGGGGGAGGGGTTCGCAGCCCTGCGCACCTCCTTGTCGTGGACCCCCGGGCTTGCGGCTCTCTGCGGAGAGCTTACCAAGAGTGCCAAAACAATGTGTCTTCGTTAGGAAATTGCACGATGGTGAGATGGTGAGTTCGCTGGGCTTCTTTGATGCGCGGCCACCGCTAACGGTTTGCCAAGCCGCCCCATCGGGCGAATAATGCGTAGACATTGTGCGCTGAATACAGTAAACGGTGCGTGTGTGTTGATGGCCGGTGGCATATTTAAGCTGAGCGTTTGCAGCTGTCTGGCCGCCCACATCGTCTCGAACGTCTTCAACCCTTAACCAACACCCCTATTTTACCAATGTCGATACGTCCACCGCTCGCAGACCAACTCTATGACATCGGCCTGGTCCTCGAAACCGACCATCTCGCATTCCTAACAAGGGCGGAGCTGCTGCGTGCCGCTGATGCGCACCGGCAGGACTACAAGGACGATCCGTGCACCGAGTGCGCCCAGCTCGTAACAATGTGGGGCTGGGCCGAATATCAGGAGACGGACCGCGGACTCGCACGCAGCTTCCAGATCTGCAAAGCGTGCTTCGCCTACCACCGCTTCAATGGGGGCTCGGGAGTGCGCACGGCGCCAGTACGTTCATTTCCGTGTTGCAATGGTGCATTGGGCTGATACTGATTCTATCTACTACAGCCTTGCTCGTGTCCCGCTGGTGCTATCTCCGGCGAGAGGATTGACTCGGGTTGCGCCTTGCACGTCGGTGCGTTCAATGTATTCGTCTCCACAGCGCGCCCGGCTGACATCTTTGCTGTGCCAGTTCCTCCGATGCGCCGTCTGCCACAGGGCATTCCCCGAGTGCTCGTTGCGACGACCGGAGGGCTGCGCATGCGCGGCATCGCCTACAACGCCCTGGATATCGCCGTCAAGTCGTGGCGCAAGTGCTTCACCACCCGAGAGTGTCCAATTCGTGCTTTACGCCCTCCGCCGAGCCGTACGTTCTGTATGCCCTGTCGTTCGGATGCTTACTGACTTCGTTCCCTTTGCTCAGGCGCACTCAGGCTAGTGAGGGTGGGGACGCCTTACGCCCTTGACGCCGAACAACGCCGCACAGCGCGAGAGGAGAGAAAGGCCGCTGAGAAACGGAGGCAGGAGGCGGCTGTGGAGGAGGAATTCGGGAAATTTACGGGAATAGATATCTGATGTTTGTTGGTTTTTGTCTCGTCGCCTTGTACAGTACCAAGGGTTCTCATAAATAAATTGTGTTTGCGTTGTGTATCCACTCCTGCCAATTAATTGCTCATTACTTTTTCTAGTATAGTAGGAGTAGTATTTCGATAAATTGAAGTCAAGTCTCATTATTGACTGAGTGGTGTTTCAATGCGGCATCTCAAAGGGTTTTATTTTTTTTTTTGTTTTGTTTTAGACCGCTGGGAGGGTAGACTCACTGTATGTAACGGCTGAGTGGTGTAGTAGTAACACCGTTGCTCTGAATTGTGGTACATTACACAATATGATTCGGCAAATGACGTGGGTTCGACTCCCACCTCAGCCATAAGTACATGGCGCCTTGGTTTTTTTTGTTTAACTCGCGCCTTGTGTTTCTCGCTTTCGTTAGTGATTTCTTCCCAATTGATAATAGATTTCGATTGATTTCACTTCAGTAGTTAGGTTCGAAGAGATAAGATAAGATAATAAAATTCCTAATCGGGCTGCGAGGAGTAGCAGTCTAAAAAGGGCATCTAGTAGTCTAAAAAGGAAAGATAAAAACTGCTGAGGTAGATGTTCTGCCTCAACGTGGAGGCTCCCAGTAAATGGTGTGGGAGCTCCCAGCACCTCCCAGAGTCACTCCCAGGGTCATTTTGTGTGCCAATTCGACGGCACTTGCCTTTTATCTGGCGGGTGGGAGGCTCCCACCACCTACTCCGGGAGGCTCCCACTACTGAGCTGGGGCCTCCCACCACTTGGCATGGAGGCTGCCGGACATTGAAAACAGCCAAGTGGGAGGCTCCCAATGTTGCACTGGGAGCCTCTGTATCAGGTACGTTTAATAGATTATGTGCATCATAGGCTTCCAGAGCCGACCATGGGAGCCCCCATTGAAGGTTGTGGGAGCTCCCGCGGCTGACTATGAAAGGCATGGGAGCCCCCATTAAGGTGTGTGGGAGCTCCTGTAAATGATGGCGAGGACATGGAATCGGGCAAGAAAGGGCCTGGAAGGCGCTGGGAGAGTGACAATGGGAGCCTTCCAATACTGATTGGAAGTGTGCGGGAGTGCCGGAATGATATTGGAGGCTTGTGGAAAGCAGGTTTTGACTGGCTGGCTGGGAAGGTGTAATGCAGCAGATAAATATAAGAGCATGAGGATGTGATAGAAGATTTCACATGGAAAATTTGTTCTTCCAATGACAGACAATGGACAGAGGTTCATTCGTAAGGGCCAAATTGTGAGATTTTTTCTCGGCAGGTCCACAATCACATCACAGAGTGGTATGTGTGTCGGCAGTAAGCATACGGTGAAGAAGAAAAAATAGAGCAAACAGAACCATGCTGAAATATCATCAGACTCTTGGTGTGCTGTGCGCGGCAATAGAACCAATGAGAGGTGGTAGGGATAGTAGTAATACTGGTACTGGGGTAGGATGCAAAATATGGGCAAACGAGCTGTTTTTTTGGGGGCAATTGCAGGGTAAAGCAGCTTTTAGGGGTGTTTTTGGAGCCGGCCGTGCTATGCGCGGCACCCATGATGGATGTGTAAAGCTGCGGCTCCAGCATGGATCCAGCAGAATCGATTTGTGGACCGCCCCAACAATCCATTTTCACCGGCAGCCAGGCGGTGGACCAGCTTTTTGGCGGCGCAAAAACAGCCCCAAATGCACATTTTTTCCGGCCGCGCTACGCGCGGCACCCATGATAGACCTGTAAAGCTGCTGCTGCAGCATGGAGCCAGTAAAAACGATCCATGGACCGCCCAGAAAATCCATTTTCGCCGGCAGCCAGGCGGTGGACCAGCTTTTTGGCGGCGCAAAAACAGCTCCAAATGCTGATTTTTTCCGGCCGCGCTATGCGCGGCACCCATGATGGACCTGTAAAGCTGCTGCTGCAGCATGGAGCCAGTAAAAACGATCCATGGACCGCCCAGAAAATCGATTTTTGCCGGCGGCCCCGCTGGGGCCGCCACGGGGTGGGAGCTCCCAGACTGGGAGGAGAAAAGGCTTCCAATATGTGTCTCATCTACCACCCAGTGGTGGCTCCCAAGGTGGAAGTCTCCCCCTTCCTGGGGCCCAGTTAGGGTAGTTATACCATTGGCCCATAACCACCCTAACAGGGTGTCTTATATGTCTGCCTGTAGTGATATTTTCGGCGCCCAAACTTACTTCTTGTGTACCCTGTGAACGAGTTTCGGTCGCTGAATCTATTGCAGAATTTGGATGAACGACCGACGTAGCGAGACAGACACGGGAGCCAAATGGCAAGCGGGAATGCAGACGTCGAGAGCTGCAGTAGATGAGCGATCAAATCGAACACATAGCTTGAAAGGTGCCACGAAACGGTGGGCGGCGCGGACCGGATGGTGTGCGTGTGGGACGTCGAGAGCGCGCGGGTGCCGTATAAGTTGCCGGGACATAAGGGGACGGTGACGAGTGTGGATTTCCATCCGAAGGAGCCGATTCGTGAGTTGTTAACTTGCCGTGTTGTGTGACAGTTCTGACCAGGGTGTACCTAGTTTTGACGGGGAGCAAGGACGGGGCGATGTTGCTGGGCGAGCTCGAGCCGGGCGTGGGTGTTTAATGTGTAGGGGGTAGGGTGTGTGTAGAAAAATCGGTCGGGAGCGAGTGGGGGAATGTATAGTAGATGGGTTAAATATTAATCTGAATGCCTGTCCCACTTTTGGCTGCGTTTGACTGCACGTTCGTACGCACACCCATTGCGCCTACCGCGCAGAGTCGTTGCTAGAGTTCATGTAGCTAAGTACAGTCCGCGGCGTCCATCTCTTACATCTGTTTGAATTAAGTACTACGCAGTCATACGAATAAGGATACGTGCACGAATTGATCCATTTCTATTATACACTCGTTCGTCTCAGCACAAGACTTGGAACTAAAACTTAACTTAGCTAGTCAAGGGTTGAAACGGTGCAGTCTGAGTTCCATGCGAAACGGTAAGGATTGAGATATTGAGAAACTGGCCAAGCTTTGGCCGTTGCCTTGAATTGAGTCGAAACAAGTCAACTTGAACCCGTGTCGTGAAAAGTCACCAAGCAGGGATTTACATAAAAGTCAACGCAAGTTGGGAAATTGACCAACGTCTTGCGTGGCCGTTAAACGTCAGCGCGCATGGAAAATACTGTAAATGTAGAAGAACGGAACGACAGACTTCAACTTGAAATCCAACGATCTTGAAAAGGCGTGAATTCAGCAGTCCCGGAGTCCAGTTCAGAACACCGTGAAGCGTCTTTACCTTGACTCAAGTCCATCGAGAGTCCAGGCATAAAACGACTGAAGCAGAAAACTCGTAAGTCAAGGTTGACCGAATTAGAGGCGAATCCGTGACTTACCTGGCAACGTTGAAAGCAGTGGCCGACGTTGAAGGCGAACTCAAGATGCAAACGAACATCTAGTCCAAGAAGTCAGTCCGTCGAATGGAAACAATAGCACACCGATTTGCTCGAGCAGAGCCTCGGCCTTGCGGAGCAAAGGTGTGTGTGGAGTGTCAATGGCCAGTCACGTCTTCATACAAAAGGTCAGTCTGCAATCAACTGACTTGCTCCAAGAGCTTACCTTCCGTTCGAGTATCAGGTGTAAGTGAACGCTCAAAGGTGAAGGTGAGCAAAAACCTAACATTGGACGGTAAGTTGGATGAAACGAGATTAAGCTAAAAAGATCCAAACCTCAGTCCTCAAGCGGGTTAATTTTGAACTGATGAGTGTTGAGGAATTGAAAGTGAAAGGCTGCATGGAGATGTAAGGTCAGCGTGAACGGAGAAAAAGGAATCAAATGTAGTTACGACATAGTTACGACGACGGGCGTTGGGAATGAACGAGCGGTGGCACATACCGGACTCAGGATGTCCTAAAAAAAGGTCAGTAAAGCCAAGAAGGGACTACGAGACTCAGAAATATGACAATTCTTCATTGAAATGCTTATCTCGGAATTGGACTCGCCGCGATCGTAAAACGGAGCAATAGGACGATCAGTGAGTAGGAAGCGTCAGTTAGGATACAGAAATTGGACAAGGAACTCACATAGAATATAAGGCCAAGTTACATTCGGGACTGTGAGCGCGACAGATTTAGTAAACGGGCTGGTGCGATACAAACCAAGTGCAAATGTGATTCCCAGAGAGGGTACAGAATCGCATTGCGTAGTTACTGAAGCGAAAACAATCGAAGTTTTGAGGACTGAAGCAGTAGAGCTTGAGGATTTGAGTTGAGTGAAATTTGCGGTGTCGCCGAGAAGCCCGAGGGGTCAATCAAGACAATTTTTGAGCGTGTCGTCGAAGAGCCTATTGAGCAGCGAGACTAGAGATCAAAGTAAACGTGGAGGATTTGAAGTGGCATTGAAGTTTGAGTTGCAGGACTTGAAAAGCAGTGAGTTGCGGCGTCGGTGAGGAAGTCAAGTTGATTCTTGAGCGTGTTGGCGTGCGAATTCTATTGGAGCAAGAGAACAAGTCCTAGTAAAATTTTGAGGTAAGGTTTGAATGAAATTAATAGAGATGATTGAGAAAATTGAAGAAGCACAGCTGAGAGACTTGCTCGAATGAAAGTTTGAAGTCGACACGGGTTGCTGCAAGAAAGAGGTGGGTGGGAAAGTGCGTTGAATGGAATTTGAGACTCAATGAGCCTTCAAAGAGCGATAAGCAGTGATTCGGAGTAACAGAAAGGGCAAATATTACTCACCCTGCGACCATTATACGAAAAAAAACAAGCACCAAAGTCTGCGAGTGTTGACGTGGCGATGAAGAACTCTGGCTGAGTTTGAAAGAGGACTAGGCAAGGTAAGAAGATCAGTAAGCCCAAATGAAATGCAAATAGAGTGAGCTTACCTTTGTAGGGCGATGGGCGCGCTGTGGTGGTGGTTAACGAAGAAGATGCAGCGTGGGAGCCTGTAGTGCTGGCCATAATATGATATGAATACGAAAAATCCGTATCGTATTCATATTCATATCGTATTCACGACAACGGCCCCGTATCGTATCTGTATCCAACCGTATTCATATCTATTCATATTCAGAGCGTTGAATATGAATACGATATGAATATATTCAGATATGCTGTACTTAGTTCAAATTTGCTGAAACTGTGGGTAGTTCAAGCCCCAACTGCATACATTCCTTCCTCGACAGTATCTTCAGACCCGAACATCTACGGAGAGTATCTTCCGAGCTCAGAAAGAAGCGGTCAGGATGCTGATGGAGGCGAAGACACTTTGTGCCGAGATGCCGAGGCCGGGAAACTCCGTGATTGTCAGCGGGTATGCTACTCAGGCAGACGGCACCTTCGGTTAGGCCGCGGACCATCGTTGCCGATGATGGTCCTGAGCGCCGTTCGGTGAT